AGTGGGTTTGGCGTTGGGCTACAAGGTGTCCGTTTTAAGGACTAAGGTGCCACCCTCATTCCAACCCCCAACCTGGAGGACCAGGAGGCTGTTTGTCTGGCCTCTAACCACTGACTAATCTGGTATGAGTGGCTCTGAAGGTGCAAAAAGCACCACCCAGTATAGCTCAACGGATCACTGAGGCACACAAACCATCGCACCACGGTAAGGTCCAGCCTCATAGCGATGGAAATTCGGGTTTACCATCAACACAAGCAAAACTCTTATATGGTCAGGTGAGTATTGGGAAGCGGCATGTGGGAAAACCAAAGTTACGTTACCACGGCATGATCAAAGTAAGTCTCTCACGTTCTAAGCTTGATTGCAGGTCATGGGAATCGAAGGCGGTTGATCGGCGTGTATGTCGCGATCCGATCACGAAGGCAGTTGCCGAGGTGCGGGAGAAAGACCTCATGCATGCAGAGAAGTGGCAAGTGCGGAAGCGGCAAGGGCCGGTGGGTTGTGCTCTATCGACATCGAGCGTATGGTGCTGTATCACATGCGGTCGCGAGTGCCCGAGTCAGGCAGGTCTAGTGAGCCATGAGCGAAGCCACTCGGGACCAACACCAAAACGACGATGGGTACTGCTGAGAAGGTAGGCAGAACCGGCGCAGCGTTTGTAGGTACGCTGCATCCGATTTACTAACCGCGTGCCTGCATGCTGAGTTACTTTATTTCAAGTGGTGGGTTTGCCATATTGTCTTAATGCTTTTTTATCTCATTAATACTACCTGAACTATCTATAAACTTGCACACGTCGCTCAAGCTAATTGTAGCTAACTTCGGTAGCATTTTAGCGCTTGTGGCATTTTCTTAAAATATATTTTCTGACGTCTTGAACTAATTTAATTTATACGCTCACTTAGTGAAGAAGCATGTCACCGTATCTGTATGCATTATTGGATTTATTTTATTTGATATCGACGTGTCAAGTGATTGGCCGTTGCTTGATATCCCCAGTGTGGCTGCGCATGATGTGCATGGTGACAAGGTGCCTACCTGTCTATTACCCATACATCGTCCATACTGGCTCCAGGAGACAGTTGGTCGTTGCTGGAGGGAACGGGTGCACGGCCCAGTTGGCCGTGGTAGGTATGAAGAGTGCTTCAATGCACTCAGTGTGGAGCGGACTACGGTCCAGCCACCGCCTTGTGTGCGCTTAATTCCCCAAATATAGCGTGCTTGCGTTTGAAGGTGTGCGCCGCCTCCGTTGATGAAACGTGGCTCCCAATTCACATGCCTCCCGGTTCTACTCCCTCGGGTTTACACTGGATATGGGGTGTGTGTTTGGAGCGGTGGGTGGTGCAGCGCAAGCCATCCATGGACCCTCTGTAGGCGCAGGCGTCCTGTGGCTGGCCACAGTGACAGGCAAATCCGAAACCGGATGCCGCCAACCACATACATAATACGCGAGGTAACGTGGATGGCATTGGCGTAAACGTGTGCAGATAAACACATTAATATCGATAGGAAAAAGCATCGAATTGATTAACTCATCTGCTAGGAATTCTGGTTAAAAGTAACCCTTGATGAACGTGATCAACCCAACACCTAGTGACCACTGGTGTCCAATCTGCTGTTTCTGCCTTGGTTCTGACCCGAAACGCAGTGTTTCAGTGAAGGTTTAAACACTTGCTGTTAGCTCCCTTCAATGTATCTTATGACCCTTTAATGTGTGATTTGTGATCAAACATGAACAGATTTCAGTGGCTTCTTATGTGTTCCTTTATTCCATTCCAAGTCATTCATGCATGATAGCTTCCCACCACGATTCTGTAATCCGTACGTCGTGAACACTAATCGCCCGTTTTGACTCTTCTAACTTGTGAACAATCGTGCGCTACCTTACCTAGTCGTTTGACCAATATTACTCTGCAATCCACTCCATAATTTGACTCGAACGACTGGCTGACACAAAAGAGCAACGATAGACACGGAGCTGATAGAGGCGTCGTCCAGTTGCAGTGAGTAGCCACTGTGGCTAATCAAAACTGCATAGATAAGTAGCGATATGTTTTGATACAGATGATATTAGCATTAAGCTTGTTTTGCGACTGATTGATGCGCCAATCCGCGTAATATGTGGCCCCCGTAAAATGCCATTTTACCCCTTTGAGGGTAATTAACCCCAGGTTGGAGACCTCTGTTAGATGGACCCAGGAAAGGGCTAGAAAAGCTAGTGTTTGAGGCCTGGAGATGTACTACAAAAGCACCGTAGTATTTGTTGTTAAGTGAATACCAACAACAAAAGGGGCACGTGAATATATCATGGCGAACAGTATGCAGATGCGTGTTCGAGAGCCCCAGCTGCCGCATACCAGCCTGCAGGCAAAAGTTCCTGAGGGCTCTTTCCTGGAGCACGTTCAATCGTTCCGGCTTCTGTGGGATTTAAATCCCAATAAAGGTGCTGGGGTGGATACCATTCATTCAAAACGGTGGTACGAGTTGGCTGATGAACTTTGTCCTTCAAGTACACATCTGTTTGAGAAATCTATGCAGCTGCTCTCTACACACCGATCGGAAGGCTATTGTCTGTCCAATTTTTTTAAAAATGGTGAACATGTTGAAAACTTTAGGCAGGTCAGTTTGATGAGTGTGCCAATCAAGAAAAAACTTAGGAGGGACGCCCTCGAAGAACATTTAAGAGCGTTTGGATTCCTTAACCTCACTTAAAGTGGCTTTCGTAAGGGTTATTCCTGTTTTACTAACTTGGTGGCTTGAGAACATTGGGCCGAAGCCGTCGAGCGAGGTAAGACAGTGGGCGTGATTTTCATTGACTTTCCAAAGCTTTTGACACCGTCACGCATTCATGCCTTTGTACAAGCCACAGTCTTATGGTATTTTTGGATAGATTTCAGCCTTCCTAATCGGAAAGGTGATGGGCGTCGGTGTGAGTTCCTAGTGGGGTCCCGCAAGGTTGTCTTTGGCCCCGATACGCTTCGAGTGCCAATCCCTAGTGCCATCCCTGAGTTAAAATTCTAGTTCACAGTAAACGATCCGAGTGATCCACTAACCCTACCGGTAGTTGCCCGTGAATCTCGCGAAATATTCCGTCCTACGTGTGTGACCAAATAATCCACCGACGCGTTATTTGTTTGGTGGCAACGAGGTGCCGCGGGTGCAACTCCAACCTGAGCTAGGAGCCTTACTGTCACCCGACTTTAGATCCAGGGAACATTGGACGGCAGCTGCTCGCAAAGGATTCGGCATGTTGAGGCTGACCCGCAGGTCATTAGGGATCATGACGACTGAAATTTTCATTAGACTATTTGCGACTTCTGTAAGGTCGCACTAGGAATACTGTGTACAGGCTTGTCCCCCATGCCTCGCTCGTGACAGGATGGCAGTTGAATGGGTCCTGCGGGCTAGGACGAAAATGGCGCATGGGTTGAAGAAGCTGATGTACCATGAGAGGCTAGGTAAGTTGGATGTTCTCTACAGGTGACTTGGTCCTCACATGTCGCATACGAACGGGTCAGATTGGTCCTGATTTGACTGGACTGTTCCACCCAACTCGAGTAGCTACCCTACATGGCTACCCATCGAAGTTGCACAAAGCCGAATTGACGGTTGGGGCAGGTTTCCAGTTATTGCGTAGGGTTATGGGTTATTGGAACGCGCTGCCTGCAGTTGTGACGGCCCCGACAGTGAGTTTGAACATCGACGCCCTCGGCCTGTAGTATAAAATCTCCCTTTTATTGCTTTAAGCTTTTACTCATCTATTATGGCCTACTCCTTAATTCACCTACACCTGCATTTCAATATTACCGAGGTAGGTTGATAAGCTTGTCTTTCACCTTATTCCTTTTCGTCTTCGATTCACGTGACCGGAGATTGCTGGTACAAGGCACGTGGGCATTGTTTAATTGACTACATGAGCGGGTGTTGAGTTGGCTCTTCTATGGTAGATCAGTCCACCGCATTCCCTGTTGGCTCAACAGCGTTTTCAATGGTAGAACATTCATGGGAACCACCTACTGTTCCGGTCCCACCTGAAATCGATGTTTCTTTGTCACACAATCACAAATTAAACGGTACAAACCAAATGAAAAGGTTTCAGCATTACCTCGCAGCTCCGTACTGATGCTTTGCTGCTTGGTGACCGCGAACGGCTGTGCGGCCCGGGATGGCGTAGGGGCATCCAAGTATGTGGGAGGGATTCGAATCCGGGAAGCAGACTGCAAGCCAAACATCTAGAATACTAGACCATGGGACCTCAAATGAAGAATTGACGGGGACCAAGTGTAGGGCTTTAGCCCATTGAATTCGATTAAACTTAAGCGTTACCAACATATGGTCAAGGGTTGGTTGTCTTGTAAAGATAAAGTAGCACCAGTGTGAAAGTCGCTTACAGCTTTCGATGTCCCATGTCTTGAATGGCCTAGAATCAAACATCGAACAGACAATTCGACCACAAGACTGCGATAAAAACCACAGCTGGTTGGTGTTTCAACGTTTCGTGGACTCCCATCATGAGAGTGCGACGGCTGCACGTGTAAAAACGAAGCATGAGACGAAGATTATTAGCTTGAGAATTATGACAAGCTTTAGCCAGCTGAGCTGCGGTCGAACACGTGTGACAAGGATACCTAATGATACGTAGAACCCGAACAGAATAGGCAAAATCTAAATTATCGCGTGACCAACCAAGACGTCAGGCTGTGTATATGAAAGACAAAGGACAGCTGACAATCGGAGTCACAATCAAGTTGACCAGGAAATCAACCGAGGATCCTGAAGCACTGTACAAACTGAAGGCATCAGCAGTACTCAATTCACCATACCGAAAGCTCCGCTGCCACGCGATTACCACAGATCGGCGATAGGCTGGGTATAGCGCGAGGTCACCTGCACCTATGGGGATTTGAACCGGTGACCTCTGGTCACAAAGCTTAAAGTGACCATCATGGGGGGAATACAAAAGAGCCTGGATAGGAAATCAAAATACCAAGATGACTCACGCTGGACTTCGTGATCGTTTTCTAGGAGAAACGTCTTCTCGTCGCCGACGCCGGTCGTGTGAGCTGCCGCTTTCATGGTACCGATTGCGGGGAGAAGCATCTCTATCTCGTGTGCGACCTCGATCCCGATCCCGGGCACGATCTCGGTCAGAGTCCCGATCACGATCTCGTTCCCGTTCCCGCTCTCGATCACGATCACGATCTCGTTCGCGTCCTGAAGCCGTGGGATAGCGTCTGTTACTGCCTGAGAGGTGCCTATCAACCGGAGGCCCAGATCGACGAATTGAGTTCAGAACACTAGGCTCGACATGCTTTATCTTGACAATTGATCCGAAAAACGAAGCGCCGTCTTCACACTGGACAGCTCCAGCAGCTTCGAGGTCGGAGTCAAACTGCACAAGAATGCACTCCTTGTAAATGACAATGTCTGCAGCACAAAAACCAACGGTGTCAAGTGAGTGCAATAAGCCGAAAAGCCTAACGATGTGAGATCGAAATATGCAGCAAACCAATGAGGGCAAAACCGGCAGAAATAAACAAGATACTTATATGTAAACATAAATTAGAGATCTGGTTAGTTGATAGTAGATATCAAACGCTTAGTCGTGTTTGATTAGTGCTCGAGGAACATTGCTTACATCTAGCGGGAATAAAGGGTGGACAATGCTGAGGTCCACGAGCGTTTGCCTTAAGCTCAACCGTTTACACTGGCTACGTGATATCCTCTGCATACCGTTGACCAGCTTCTGCGTGTATTATACGCCATCGCTGAACCTAGTTGGGTGAAATGACGAGGCAGCCTGTTGAAGAAACTGACTGAGGGACTTGGCCAGGCTATGCTTGGCGTTTCCTGGATGGGGGCTCAGGATGATTCACACTGGTGATTGATAACTATTAGATATGGTGTAGTCAATGTCGTCCCAACTCGTTAGGTTTTTAGCTAGTATTACACACTTCCGGGATTCCATGTTCTTTGCATTATGTTTGTGGTTAACTTTATTTTCTTACGGTCGTTGGTTGTTCTGGAGGTCGAGACGAGGCAACTGGGCCCACCGTATGGACCAGTTGTTCAACGAAACAAAACGGGGCGGCAATGTCACAACATACGGTTAGGCCCAACGCGAATGAGAAATCTGCGGAACTGTAATCTTGCCCGTCATTGAGTACAAGTTCTAGCCATGTCTGAGCTTCCAGCTAGACGGGATCCTTGTTCCTTCGCACCAAACTTAGGAGCCAAGAGTGCTCCCCGACAAATAACTGAAGTTCGGCTTATTCTTCGTTGGTGGGCAGACTTCTGTGCTCACAGATGGCGAGGAAAACGCTGAGCTCGCATGTGTTCAAGCCACTAAACCGTGTGGACTTAAATTGTGCAACTCGGTGGACGACGACAAAAAAATCCGCCAAGTAACTGAAATGGTGTTGTCATCGTACACCAGCAATAATCCGAAAGAAGCTATAAGCAAAGTCTATGGACATGTTTGAGCAACCAATTCTGAAAAACAACCCAAAAGATTAAGGGTAGGAGCAGTATTTGGCCAATCATGCAGGAAGTCCAACGCAACATATTCTGGGCAGCCTGCAAGAAATCGCAATTTAAGACGGTGTCGTCATGTTACCAATCGCAATATGCCCACCAGAAGCAGTAGGAAGACGCAGTTGTCCAGAACCCTCCATAATGTCATCGGAAACAAAGCTGAAGTAGGGTGAAGCTAAGTGGACGTCTCAGACCCACACTCAGCACTGGTCACGTTCGCTTTTCTCTACTTATAATGGACATAACAGATGGTAATCTAAGTCTCCCAATACAAAGTGATTCTGATTACGATTCACACCACTAGTGATAGCCCCACACAGCCAAAGTTTGAGAGCAAAGGTAACAGTCAACACACTTCTCAGCCACTCGCCTCACCAACGTGCAAATCCAGAAGCCGGCACGGTCGAATGAGACAACCGCAGCCCGAGTCTAAAGTCACGACGGCTGGCTTGCAGAACACGTTACGATGCTTGAATATATGGCGAACCGTGAAGAGTTGATCAATCTGGGTGGAACGCATCTTTCTTCGCAAGAGCATTCCAAACATATCTCTTAATGATTTAGTCTAGTAAGATGCCTTTTGAAAACTGGCACGATGTCTGAAAGGCTCCAACCGGACGGAAGTAGTCCAGTGATGTGAACCTCTAAGTGATGGGCCTCTAACTCAGAGAACAGTCGGAGGGTGAGTTGGGCCAGGGTATGCAGCGCTTTGGGAGCCGCATGGGCAGTCTGAGGAAATATATAGGAGTGGACTAAAAAGACCAAACTCGGTATGAGCATATCAAAAGGAGTACTGTCGGGTGAATCCCTAAAGAAAGACTGGGACGGTTTAAGGGCGTGTAACAAAAAACAAGACATCTCACCTGAAATGTTGCCATACTTCTTTAGCCAATTGTGCACGTCACTTGTGGCTATTGGCCTTCTTGGAAGATTTTCAATTATGACTTTCCCAGCAACCTGTGATTCTTCAGGCGGAGAAGCGCTAGGGCGACGCATTTCTCCAAAGGTACTTCCCTGATCACTGATTCAAACAAAAATAGTCCCTTAGCCAGTTTAAACAAGCAAGTAAGAAAAATTGTTCTAGAACATAATGTGGTGACATTGCCTTCTTAGAGAAGAATTATGTACGAAATCAGCCAAAGCACTACCAAAACTTCCTGTGAGTACTACTCGATAATTCAAGTTCAAGTTCAAGCGGGACTGGAACGATAGGATGATCCCGTGGGTGTTCCTTCTTCGGCAGGTCGTTGAACCAGTTGACGAACTTTGAAATAATGTTGGACCTAAAACAATGACCACATCACACCCTGTCCAACCAATTAATGCCCACGTATCCTGCCCTAGCAGTCCCTGCTGGGTCGGTTACGTGAAGTAAGAAAGAGAAAAAGTAAACGCAGGACTCAAAAGCGAAAGTGGTAAGAGCTAAGCAAGTGGAATACCAAGATATTTGAGTCAATAAAAAAGAACTGAAAAATGAAGGGTAGTCAGCTAGGATAAAGGATAAGTTTGCTGTTACCACCCAAGAGCATCGAGCTGGCGCGCAAAACCCTTAACCGTAGGTTCCCTAACCCCATGACCTGGAAGAGAATTCCAGCGATCTATAACTCGGCGCGATAGACGAGTTTCCGTCGTAATCCTATCAGACCGTGGCTTATGCAATTTCAGTGGGTGACCGCGGAGACTAGGTAACGTAGCGGGACTAAAAAGCCCTGACAAGTCCGGGCCAATCTTACCCGTCAAAATACGATAAGTGAGAATCAGGTCCCCTCTTATCCTTCGGTAGTGCATTGAGTACATCCCCAAACTGAGCAAGCGTTCAGGATACGTCCGTCCCCTAGACCCTGCACTAACCGAGTGCCCACTCGTAACACCCTCTCCAAGTCCATTTTGTCTCGGTTAAGACATGGTGGACAAGCCTGAATAGAATATTCCAGGTGGGGTCGGACGAATGCCGAAAATAGCTTCACAAACAACTTGGCTGTTAAGATTCCGAAAGAGCGGCGGATAAACCACATCATACGAAACCCTCGACAAGCAGCCTTCTTCCAGTTGTCTCCAGAATGAAGTGCTGATGCGTGTACGACTCCTAAATCAACCTGCTGATTGACAACAGGGAGTTCACCACCGCCGACATCATATCAGTAGGGAGGATTAGCAGCTCCGATTCGGAGAACAGAGCACTTGGCCCTATGGGCATCAACCATAAGATAGACCATTCCCAGAGCCTATCCAAGGCACGCTGAATTGCCTCAGGACCCCCGGGATATCCACAATATTCCAGAGTTTAAGGTCGTCAGCAAACATTAATGATGACACCCCTAGCTCTCCCGGCAAGTCATTTACATAGATCGCGAACAACAATGGCCCCAATACCGAGCCCTGCGGAACGCCACTAAGGGCAGCTTGCCTGAGCGAAAGGCTACGCCCCACCCGTACGCACTGTTCCCTCCCCTCAAGGAAGGCAGACACCCATTGAAGGGCGCGACCAGATATCCCGTAAGATCTCAACTTTAATGAGAGCCGAAGATGTGGAACAGTATCAAAAGCTTTCGAAAAATCTACGAATAGCACGTCTACAGCGTGGCCACTGTCTACCGCTTCGGCCCAGCTTTCACGAGCTACAAGTAAATTAGTCTGACATGAAAATCCTTTGCGGAATCCATGTTGTGCAACACTGAGAAGGTTGAATCGATTCAGGTGGTTCTCCACTGAATTCCGACTATTTTGCGTGCCACAGTGTTCGAGCATTTAGCTGAAGTAACGCGAAAAACAGTGGTTGAATATGAAAAAAAAGAAATTTTGACTATTGTCAAATTTCCTGTGATCCTGGGATCTTGGATCGTTTGATGTGGTAGTGGCTGAAGCTTCTTTGGCGTTTAATGGTAATTTTTCCGGTTGTTCCTAGTTTTACTCCCGTGTTGCACCCTATTTTGCCTTTCTTGTTGCGCTAGTTTTGCTATTGTATACATGTTCTAATTCTGCTCTGAACAGGGCTGTCTCGCTAAACGCCGAGGTGGATGGACCCCTGGGGTTTTAGTTCGATGGGTCTAATGCATCTTGCGGACAGTCTACCTGTTCAGAGCAGGTAACAGATTTAGCTGGCATTATAGAGTGTGATGGTTGCTGCCGCTGGTATCACGAAAGCTATACCGGCCTACAAGCAGACCAGTACAAAGCACCATCATCCAGGGTTCACTTCCTTTGCAGCTGTGCTGAATGCTGCGCTCAGAGAGCGACGCTCCCGGCGATCACCGGTGCTAAGCTATCAGCGCTAGCCTTATGGTTGGTAAGGTTGGGAAGGTGATAGCCAAGCGCGTCTGTATTGCCTCGCTCGATGCAAAAATGGATTTGATTATGAAACTCATGAATATTGAGATTGGGGGCTTGCAATAGACCGCAACATTGCTGCGATCCATTCGCTGGGGTCTGTCACTCGGCCAAGAAGTCACACATCCTACCGGACACTCTAGGTAGCGTTTCTGACCCTTCTGCTTATCTGGCCAATGTGAAGAAAAATAGGTTGCGGAAATACCAGATGCCCTCTGCTAAACCCGGAGAAGTAGTTGCCACGGCAACGAGCAAGATGTCGTCTTCAGCAGTCATTAAGTAAGCCGACGATAGTGCACGGCAGAACATTCCGAAGATGCTGACCGTCTCGGCTGCCACTGTACCAGCCCGTTCTGACGAAGTGTTGACAACTGCTTAATGCGCCACAGGGTCAAATGTCCCTGCACCAGTGAGCAAAAAGAATAAGTGATCTTGATCTGCTGGTAAAACCTCGAAGGAGGTTGAAGATCCACGAAATAGTAAGGCGCCGGCAATAGAGCGGAACACCTACGCTACGTTGCTCCGACGTCGTTCGCGGAGACAGCGATAGTTTCACCGCCACTGATGAACTCCGCTGGTTTAAGTGTTGAATCCAAGGCGCTTGGAGTAAACACTGCCCGTCGTGTCGACTCTTTCACGGATAGTAACGTTATATTCCGTAACGTTACTGTATCTGCGGCTGCTCTAACAAGGAATCACAGTTTGCACGACATCAGATGGCTCAACCTGTGGGTCACCAAGCTGCTTCCACCCGGCATTCCTGGTGTCACTGTCAGAAAGCTGACTAGATTAGGGAACGGCCCTATCGATAGGCCGAATCCGCGACCCCGACTACTTCGCGCAGTCATTTCTACCCCGGAGGCACGCAATGCATCACTGCGGTTTGCTTTCATTTTTAAGGATACTGGTGTCAGCGTTCCTCCGGACGTTCCATTGGCAGGTATATTGAAGTTAAATATAGGCTAGCAAAGCGTCCGTCTGGTGGGTTTTCAGGTGGTCAGTTGGAAGTTATTTTCCGCCCTATCAGGATCTATCCTGATGGCGCATGACCCAGGTATGGAGGTGCCGCCTTCCATGAGGTGTGTCTCGTTTTACGGAGAATATACCATTTATTTATTTAATTAACGTGTGTAGTCTTAGGAACAAGGTGTACAAGTTGGGTCTACTTGTAGACAAATCTCGTCCCGACACACTTGTTTTCACTGAAACGTGGTTGTCTCCTGATAACATAGAGAGTGAGCGACGTTTACCTAGCTACACATTGCATAGAACTGGTCGCTCCGTTGATCGCCAAGCCGGAGGGTTGTACTGTATGTAAGCTGTAACTTAGGTGTGTTGAGAACCTGCACATTCCAGTCGTCGGATTAGACTGCTGAAGCCCTATCGGTGTCTTGTGCACTTCCCCTACCTAGTTTACAGCTGTAGTGCTATACAAGAGTCCTGAACGTCCTTCCAGAAGATATATAACTTTATTCGCACTTAGTCCGCGAATAAGCGTTTAATTCTAGGGGATTTCAAAATCCCGAAAGTCTGTTGGACCGTTCTTTCTTGCAATCCGGCGTCAGGAACATCCGATGCAGACTTCCCTGGGATGAACCTCCAAGTGCCGTTAGGCAAGTTAGTGGACTACCCCACTATACATTTTTACACGCATATTAGCGTATTGTACCAAGCTTTTAACGTGGTTCATTTTCGAAATAGCGTGCGGTACTTTCAAGTTAGCGAGGCGGAGAACGCTGATTTGGCGTCCTTGACACTCTTATTGGTTATGGGACGTAAACCAATGGGACTTCGGTTGGAAGCTGCCAGCATACGCGACAGACAGTCCAATGAAAGTGGTCGAGCACCACCTTCCGTTCTGCCCTGATGCCCCTCTGGAGTAAACCTCGATGATTGGTCTCCAACCTGAAATCGACCAATAGGTAAATTGTGATGCTTGTCAAAGGAGGAGATGCTAGCTACCACACTATCCAAAGCTTAAGACTTAACCAGTGTGGATAGACCTACTAACCAGCACATGTAGCAGTCTATGGCGATCACTGGCGGCTACCTAATGGTGGCTTACTCAGCGGCCTAACCATGGTGGCGTAGACAGGCAACCATCTAACTCGTATTCCACAGTACAGCAATGGCTGGTAGGCGGTTAGACAATTGTGTGCGAATGTCGTTGCAACGATCATGGGGGACACAGTTCCCACAGAAGTTAGTAGACCAACCTGAAGCTGAACAACGACAATTCTAAGGTTGCTTAATTCGATCACAGTTGATGACTCAACAAAAAATGATAGGATTGCAATTGTGGCGTTGACACGACGTCAGTGAGTGATCGTTTGCATCCATACCCATAGGCGAAATGTTAATCAGTTGTCGCTTCAGTGTCTCTATGTATGGCGTTACCTATAGGTCATAGGAAGCTATGAATTTATAGGATCATTAGGTTTCACTTCCATATGGTCGCCCATGGTGACGTAGACAGGGAATAATCTCACTGGTATTCCGCACGTCAGCAATGGCTGCTAGGTAGTTATATAATTTCGGGCGATGGTTATTGCGACGATCATGGGGACATTGTTCCCATTGAAGTTAATAGACCAACTTGAAGCTGAACAACGAAAATTCTATGTTCGCTTACTTCTATCTCAGTTGATGGCTCAACAAAATGTGAGAGGATTCCAAGTGTGGCGTTGACATGACGTTAATGAGTGTTCGTTTGTCTCCCAACCCATGG